ATTTGACGATCCATTCGAAATTGCCAATTCATTTGCAGCACATTTCAAAAAGGCATACACACAGACAATTGATGGATCTGAAGCAAGTTATCGTGAAGATGATCCCATATTGTTGGACCGATGTGCTAACATTCCACCTATTCAAATCGATGAGGAATTAGTCATGGAAAAAATGAATGAGCTACCAAACAATTTGGTGTCTGGTCCCGACGGAATACCAAATCTACTCATCAAAAAATGCATGCTTTCATTATTGAAGCCAATAACTCACATATTGCACGAATCGTTGAATACTGGAAATGTACCGATCGCATGGAAACAATCTTATGTGAGACCTGTGCATAAAAGTGGATCAAAATACAAAATCGAAAATTATCATGGAGTCGCCCTGCAATGCATAATACCAAAACTTTTGGATTCAATTATAGCAAGCCATCTGAATTATCACATAAAGAACATCATTGATGATAGCCAGCATGGTTTCATAAAGGGACGGTCAACAATTACGAACTTGGTTGAATTCACCTCACCCACACTGATCAACATGGAACATGGGATTCAAACTGATGCAATCTATCTTGATCTTGCAAAGGCTTTTGACTCAGTTGACATAAACCTGCTCATACATAAGCTGAAAATTATGGGACTGAATGAACAGCTGCTAAATTGGATCAAATCATACCTCAGTAAGCGTGAAAAAATTGTAAAATTAAATGAAATCATGTCTAATCCTTTAGAAGTAACATCGGGAACTGGTCAAGGATATCCGATCGGCGCGACATTGTTCATCTTGTTCATCATTGATTTACCACACTACTTGGTCAATTCGAATCTACAATCATTTGCCGATGACACACGCTTTTCGATGCAAATAAATCGAATTGAGGATTGTATAGCACTGCAAGAAGATCTAAACAGAATTGTTGAGTACTTCAAACGAAACCGTATGGCATTGAACGTCAACAAAACGAAACTTGTGTCATATCATCGTGGAAAATTGAAGTTTGCTTATGTTTACTCCATCGGAGGCGTTCCGATTGAGAGAGTTAAAATAATAAAGGACCTCGGAGTGGTTTTGGATGAAAAATTGAATTTTACACCACACATCGAATACATAACTGCCAAAGCTAAGTCAAGACTAGCATGGATCAAACGCTTCGGAAGAGAGTTCAATGATCCTTGGACCATAAAGAGACTCTTTTTCACATTCGTATTACCGATTATTGAATACGGATCACAAATATGGTGCCCATATACTGACGAGAAAATTGCCAGAATCGAATCAATTCAAAAGCAATTTCTACTATATGCACTAAGAAAAATAAAATGGCCACACAAGTTCAAAAAACCACCATATGAATGTCGATTGCTGGAATTGCAAATGACTACGCTCGAAGAACGAAGAAAAATTGCACAAATTTCAACAATTCACAATGTGATATGTGGACATACATCATCGAAGCAGATCCTGAACAGTATATACATTAGAACACCGAAACGTTGGACAAGAGAATCAGATTTCCTATCGTTACCAACGCGTCACAGTGATTACACCAAGTTTGAGCCCATCAACTATATGCTCAAATATTTCAGATGAATTTAACATTAGTACAATTCCAGTCTGTGATACTTATTTAATTGATTTCAATACAAGTACAGATACTGTTAGGCATAGAATAAATGAATATTTTAAGAGAAACAGAATTTGGAGAGATTGAAAAATTGAAAAATTGTGAAATTGTAAATATAACTTGTTTTTTATATTTTTACAAATAAACCACCTCTGGCGAAGAAACGCTATATGGTGCAGAATAATAATAATAATAAAGATCATCTTATTACGGTAATAAGATTGTAATTGACTGAAAAAAATTGATAGCAATTCAGGCCGTCACAAGGCATGATACGTTAACAAGAAATGTTTTTCCGAGCTTTGTATACAAGTTTTAACTAGGACATGGTTGCATATATTTCACTGTGACGTGCCTTAGAGAGCAATGCAACTTAGAAAAATTTTGTCTTACGGTGAAGTATGAGGAATTAATTTTTCTGAAACCATTCAGTGAACCCTTTGTTTGAATCATGCTGGACCGCACGAGATGCTAGTTTGGCTGCATGGGCTTTCCGCAAGTGGAGATATCACCAATTTACATCTTTACGTGATGATTTATGGGGCAATGCGATCTTTTTAAAAGAGGCCAATGCGATATCAGTTGAACTTAAAAAGGGAGTTCAGTTTCAATTCACATTGTTGACAGAAACTCTATATTCACCTCTCCCTCCGGACTTGATGCCAGGCATTTCAGAGTCTCCTGCGATTTGTAATGAAACGTCAACTTCACAAAAAACGTTTGTTGCTGTTGAAGTATCTGATACCAAGAATGGAGCAACTCACTATTGGTCTCTGGAGAAGTTAAGGTACTACAAAATATTAATAAATAAATAATTTTATTTATACGTATTTTTACATCATGCAATGCAGAACATAAAAATATTTCGGTGTCAAATCGCATTCAAACACCTCAATGAAAACAATTTGTATTATTCAAATAAAATGAATTCAATATTTTTTCAGACAACGCCTCGAGTTGATGCGGGAAATGTACCACAATGAAGCTGAGCTCAGTCCAACATCTCCAGACTATAACGTGGAAAGTCTGACCGGTGGAGATCCATTTTACGATCGCTTTCCTTGGTTTCGGATGGTTGGCCGATCATTTGTATACTTGAGCAATTTACTGTATCCTGTTCCTCTTGTACATAAAGTTGCTATTGTAAATGAACGTGGTGATGTCCGAGGCTACCTTCGTGTTGCGGTTCAACCCGTTATGGACGAAGAAAGTATAGATTTCAATAATGGAGTCAAACAGTCGGCAAAAATTATTTTCGACGATGATGTGAAACCTCAAAAATACCGTATAAGCGAAAGATATGATAGATATAATCCTGATAAAATCGAAGGTGAGTGTGAAGAGAATATGGATTAAATTAGTTTTAAATTTTGTTACAATCTATGAACGTACTCTACAATTGTTCAAAATCGTTCATAATATGATTCCGATTGTTATTGTATACAGAGAAACATGTGGGAGGACGCTATTTTTATAGCGAACGAAAAACAGCATCCACTTAATATAAATAAAATGCCGAATAATGAAATTTCCGATTTGGTTTGAACCAGGGCTTAAGAATTGAACATTCAGTTCGCAGTACAACTCATTTTGAAGTCCGACGGTTTTAAGGAATGCGCTTATTTCACCAGAGTTGTAATTGAAAAACAGTTTAATTTATTTTTAGACTTATTTTTTGAAACATTCCAATGTTTATGCATCTGTGAATTATGCTTAATATGGGTCAATCAATACTTCGGAGTCATCTATTAAATAATGCAAACAATAAACACTACAAGGTCGCTTTCTTCGTATACAAATACATGGGTGAGATTTGACGTGAGACGCCTCTACGCGTGAAATGCTCGAAGCTGTCATCGTACACATATTGAACACCAACATTGTCGTTTACACAATCAAATGAATATTCAAATTTGGCAAATTTGCCGAAATGTCTTCGGGTAGGGCGATTTCAATTGTAGATTTTATGTTGTTTAATGTAGTGTATTTACTTTTTTTTATGTAGGAACATTTTTTTTGAGTAATCGGCTATCGAAAAACCGCTCCAAAATGGGGATACTGAAATCTTGGTCAAAAAACGAATTTTCCATGAATCAAATGTTTTTTTGAATGGAGAATGGTTTCAAAAATTTGTAGATAAATTAAAGAATTCAAATCAATTGTCTATTTTCAAATATGTCTGCCCGTTCGTTCGATATCGCGACGAGTCATGAAAATTGGTCCAAAATCGGTAATACTCAAATCTTGGCCCCAAATCGATCATTCCACAAACTAAATCTATTTTCTATTGTTTCTAGGTCCATAAAATTGTAAAAAAAATGTAGAATTCAAATCAATCGTCTGATTCTTGATGTTTTCAACAACTTATTTGACAACAGCAGTGTTTTATTTTTGTAGGGAGAAAAAATGCTCCAAAACTGGTCCAAACTGTTTTATTAATTGTAGTAACCCAGAATTAATTGTAGTGGCCTAAAAATAGTTGTAGAACCACCTACGGTTACACAGTGGAACAAAGTGAAGGTGACCAAATGTGATTTTGGTTTTGG